AACTCCAGAGGGGAGCCCCAAAGTGAGGATGCTCTTTGTCTTCCTGGGGTCAGTAATGTCCTACAAGTTACCCTCCTCTGCCGACAGCAATTTTTTAAGCAGTGTTTTGTAAGATCTCCAACTGACTATGCAGAGAACATGTGGGTCTGTGTCTCTCTCCCCAGCTCCCCTCTTCCCCCCCCCCCCCCCCCTTTTTTGGTGTCTATGTAAAATATTTAGCTTTTTTTTTTTTTTTTTTGGATAATAATAAAATTTTGGAAAAAATCCCCTATAAAAAGGCCCAGCTTTGTGGGTGGTGGTGGGTGGAGATGCTCTGAAATCCAAAAGTTGATGTAAATACTTAGCAGTTTGATAATTAAATACAAACAGACCTCACGCACACAGCAAGAAAGCGTAGCTCATGTATGAGAAGACATCTCAGCATCGCTGTGAGGGGGGCTGGTGGTTCTTGGGGCACGTGCAGTGCCTGTGTGTGGCTCCTGCTGCTTCTGATGGTTCTTCTGGCCAATGATTCTGGGATCTGGTGCCCTTCCTGCGCTGCTGGAGCCATCCCATCTGCCCACGTGGGCTCGTGGTCCAGCAAAGCCCCAGTGCCTGCTCCTGCAAGAGGAGCCTTATCGCTTGTGTCCCTCTTGCTCTGAGGGACAGGGACAGCTCCTGGACTGCTCCGGTGGGGACGCGTTGCCATGGTGGGGATGGAATCGAGCCAATGTGTTCCAAGCTGAGCCAGCGTGCATCACCGGTGGGATCCCAGCCGCAGCGCCGATGCTGTGGCACACACCATCAGCACATAGCATTAGCCACGAGGGACCCATAGGTGCTTCCCAGCCTCTGTGTGCTGGGACACCTGGGTTCCTGCCCATGGTCCCACAGGTCTGTGGGTGACAGGGTGACAGCGGGCAGCAGAGCCGGCTGCCAACCCCCATCAGTTGGGCTGGGGGGGGGACAGGATGAGGGGCAGCCCTCCCATCAGCACAATCGGCTTCATCAGCAGCTACAAGGAGCAGGCCTGCTTTGGCGGGGTAATTAGGAGCTGATTGGGATCCCTCAGTCTGTGATTAAGTAATTGATATATAGCACAGTGTGCGGGGAGCAGCCCCTCTGAAAGCAGGGTTGATGCTGCTGTTGCTCCTTCTCCACCACCATAGTCCAGGGTGGTTTTAGTGCTCCAAACCCCTAGGTTTGCCTGCTCCTTCCCCCTCCTCAGGCTGGTAAGTGGCTTCAGTCTTATCACCTTAAATGTTTCATGCTTTATGGTTTGCTTCTCTCTAAAGCATCTGAGTGACTGAGGGATTATCTGTGTGTGATGTGCGGGCAGGGGTGGGTTGGTGAGGTCATGCCTAGGAGGGAAGCAGCAGCCAAGGCTCCTCCAGCTCTCAATTTTGCACCTTTGGCGTTGCTGCTGGGGACCAGGGCAGCCATGGAGAGGATGTGCAGAGAAGGAGGAAGAGGCAGGGGTGCTGTGGGGAGGCCAGGGGGCTGCAGTCCAGCCTGAGCCCTGGGGCAGCATGTCTCTGGTGAGTCATGGCCAAGGGATGAGGGGGATGCATTCAGGACTTCCAAGCACTGCCTAAGGCATCGCTCTTCTAGTTGTCCCCTTTGCCCCATCTCTGCTCCTCGGCCTCAGTGGTAGTTGAAGCATCTTAAAAAGACGGTCAGGACAATCAGCAGCACCTGCAGCCCACCCTGGCTGTGCTTGGTGGCTCTTGTGCCATGGAGTCACCTCCTTGGTGACACCTCTCTCTGCTCCTAAACTCTCTGCAGAAGCCAACCCTGTGAAGCAGTATGGGAAGGGGGTGACACTAGCCTGGAGGGGCAGAAGCTTGCTGGTCCAGGAGGTGTGAATCACTGGTTGGGATCCGCTTGGACCCGCAGGAGCCCCTGCCAGGCATCCCCAGCCTGAGCCGGGCAGATGCGCCTGGGGATTACACCACGTGCCTCCTTTAATGGACTTAATCTTGCTGTTTGCTTTGTGCCTGGGAGAGGATTTGAGTGTTAGGGTGGGGGCTGTGGCTACCCCCAGGGCTGGTGGGGGTCCTGTGCTGGGCAGTTTGTGCTGGCAATGGGTTTCTAAAGCGCTGAGGGTGAGTTGTTTGGTTTGAACATCCCCTTCACTTTCCCCAGTGCCATCAAGTCCTGGCTCTTGATCCAGGCTCCCAGAGGATAAATGTTTGAGTACACATTTAGGGTAGCCCTGAAGCGCTCCATGCGCTGAGGATCCCCCAGAGCAAAAATCCTGGGGGCCATGGTTTGGCTCTGGGGTCCCTCTCACAGCCCAGACCCGGTCTCTGGGGACAGGAGCAGGGTGGTGGTTGTTGAAGGGCTGCTCACAGCCCCAGTGCCAGGCGCTTGGGTCATCCCCTCAGCAGCAGGTCTGGGTGGCACCTGAGCCATCTGTCCTCCCTTGCCCTCCTACCACAGGATTTACCTTTGCTCAGAGGAGTAGCAAAACCCTCTTGCCAAGAGTTAATCTCCAGCCTCCGGAGGGAAGGGCTGAAGTCCTTACCTGACGTGTAGCTTACCTCCCATGGTGGCTGAGGGCTAGGAAACCATAGAGACCAAAGGATGCTGGCAGGGCAGGGCTCTCTGTGGCCCTGAGTAATGTTTGTGGCTTCCCTGGCTGGGGGCATTGCCTGGACCAGCACAAGGGGATGAGGTTGGAGGCTGTGGGATCCTGGCACTATTGCCAACAGACCTGCACCTCTGGACTCAGCTGCCTCTGAGCTGAATGGTGGGTACCTCCAACCCAAACAGCTCCTCAATGGCATCGCCCTTTCTCCTCTTTCTGCTGCTAAGTAATAAGGCCACGTTGTTGGCTTGTCTCAGGGAGAGCATCCAGACAGCAGGCACTAATCACCTAGCAATATCCAGGGATGGACCAGCAGATGCTGGGAGAGCAGGCTGGAGCTGGAGAGCTTGACTTGTGAACACCAGCCCCGAGACATGGATGTCCTGCAGATCTAGGGTTCCAAAAGCCAAACCAGCCTGGTAGTCATGGATAAACCTTCTCCACGGGAAGCTTTGTGGTTTCCCAGTTGTTCATCTTGGGGATGCTGCTTCCACCTGACAAGTGGTGAGGAGGGGAGTGACAAGCCCCCAGATCTTGGGGCTGCAGCGAGGAGCCCAGCGCTGCCTGCACTACGCTGTGTCTGTTCCTAGGGCTCTGAACATGGGTTTGGTTTGTTTTTGCTTTCCTGACCCTGCTGTGCCACTGATCTGTTGTGTGACCTAGAAAAGAAAATGATCTCTCCTTCAAATGGAAGGACAAAGGAACAGCTTAAGGCGTCTGTATCTACGGAGCATCAGGCAGATGGATGCATTTTATAATACAGCAAGGTGATGAGACTCGCTCTATGCCAAAGCCCTTGAGGGCAGTGTCCAGGCTCATGGGACCTGGCACAACACGGCTGTGTTTTAGACCCCACTGCTTTGAGCCACTAGCGTAGCTCCTGCAGTGCAGTGCCTGCCCACCAGTGTGGTCGCCATGTAGGGACCCCTTGGTGGCTCCAGGACACTGGGGGACAGAGTCCCCCACTGCTTTTCTGGCAGAGAAAAAAGCAAAACATCTCATTTCTCCTTAACAGCTCATTTCTTCCACACAGCCAGCAAATGCTTGCCCAAGAGCACAAATGCTGCGTCTGTACGGGCTCAGCCCAGTTTGTGGTGCACAAGCAGGACAACTGTGATGCTCCTTTTCAAAAGCCATCGGGTTAGACCTGTTCTGCAGTCACCAGCTGGTTTTTCATGGTCCTTTATACAGAAGGATGAGCGGGGCATTAGCATGGGATGAGAGCCCTTGTTGGGTTCCTCACTTTGCCTGAGGCTTTCTGTCTGACCATGATGAAGTGGCTTTAATTTTCTGTGTTTAAAACAAAGATGGTATCTCAGTGCCCTAAAGAGGGTAACACTATGTGCTGGGAGGGCTGTGTGTGTATCAAAGAGTGCTCTTTACCTTACACTTGGGTGGGAGGGCTGCAGAAAGGAGGTTTCTTGCCCATCGACCTGCCAGATCTCTCCTGTCACAGGCAGCCTCCCTTTTGAAGTGCTTTTGTCTCCCAGATGGGTCTCAGAGATGGAAAGCTCTTAGCCTTGTCCTGAACCCTGTGCCCAAAGCTCTCAGCCAAAGGACTGTCTGGCTTCTTGGCTAGGATTTAAATTGCCGCAGAGTGCAACCTGGCTAGTTAGCACCCAAAACACATTCTGAAGAACTGACTGCATTAGCTTGCATTAGATTTAAACTTAGAAGGTGCTCAATGTACACCAGAGTCTTACTGAAGCTTGCAAATGAGATGCCTTCCCCATTCCTATTTGTTACACTGCAGTTGATATGACAGCTACTGGGACTTCCCTCAGCCTGGCAGGTGACAGAGCTGTCACTTCTATTCTTGGTGATGTGGCATGCACTTGGTTTTTTAAGCATATAAACACTAATATACCCTGAACCCTTTCCAACTTGGACTCAGTCTTCAGGGCTTTGGGGCAAAGGTAGAAGCTGGTTTCAGCTCCAGCAGCACAGCTCCTACACCCTCGAACTAAGGTGTTCCTGGGTGCCCACAGGGCCTCTGCCCACAGCAGGGGATAGGTCAGGACAATGTGGTGTCATGGGACAGGTTCACACCACGTAGGTGCTGGGTAGGTAATGCTCTTTCAGCTGGCACTGGAGATTAGCAGATTAGCAGTGTTCAGGGCACAGCAATTGAACTGTTTAACTTGGTAAGCAGTACGCCAAGGGGAAATGTGTCACTTAAGTGCAGAGATACAACTAGAAGCTACCTCCTGTGTTGTGTGCAAGATGAATCTGTTTTACAATCACCAGTATGGTTCTCAGGTCAGTTTAAACAGTCAACAAGAGCTGGTACTAGGAGGTACAGGGCAAACAGGCTCTGTCTCTTGCTGGAGAGGGGTTACTGTGCTGGGAACAGAACAATAGAGACACATGATTGCTGGGCTAAGGCATTTGCAATGAGTAGCCAATGCATCATGCTGGGCAGGAGGCCATAGACCAAAGTTTATAAAGCTTTATTAAACATTTTGAACAGCTGTGCAATGAACAAACAATACTCTGGAAGTTTCACAACCTCATAGCTTGAACTTCCTCAGGAGAGCAACAGCCACTTCTGCTGCTCTCCACTATGAGGCTGAAGTAAAGACAAACGGATGGAAAAGGGGAGGGAAACCTTTAAAGTTTAGAGAGAGTGTTTTGTGTTACCCTCTAAGGCTTCTCACAAACCAACCTCTGCTCCAGGCTGGGCTCCCCAGGAGCCACAGCTGTACAGAGCAATGCACACAGCATGGGGCTCTGCACAGCTGTGGCTGTAGGACTGACCCACCACAACCACCACCACCGCTTCTTGACGTCCTTCTGCCAGGGGAGGTGGAGACACTGGGCACTCCTCAGGCCTCCTTCCTTCTCCAGTCAGTAGCACCAGCACTTTCTGTCACCCCTGGCCCAAACACACTGAAAATGGCTGAAGCACTTTCTTGCTTCAAGCCATGACTCCACCTTGGGATCCTCTCTTGCCCTGCCCATGCCTGGCCTTTTGGACTAGCATGAGTTTTACAGGGTGAGGTTCACAGTGGCTTTCAAAACCCTGCATCTTGCAGCATACTGGTTATTCATCCTATCAGCCTTGGTAAACCCTAGAAATCTAGGAGGGAAAGAGTCAGTCTCCACTACCTGTGAGGCTTTATAAAAGCAGCAGCATAACTGAGGCTTTCAGGCTATGATCTTGGAGCATAAGTAGTTCAGAAAGCACTTTGGCAGTGCATGCATCTCTTTGGCAGGCTGAGCAGGAGGAGGTGACTCAACTGCCTCTGGCTTCAGCAGCTTTTGGCCAAGTGCATCTCTGAGCTGTTGAGCTTGCCCTGCAGCAGCAAGGTGGGAAGACTGGCTCCACACAAAGATGGAGAGAATCTTGCAGCTACTTGAGCAGAATCAGAGGGTTGAGAGCCCTGAGTTAGACCACCATGGCCTAACGCAGACAAGTGAGTGACACAGAACTGCACCACTGCACACAGCTGGGCAGAGGCCAGCAGTTCGGTCCTGCACCAGTGCTCAGTCAGGAGGAGCTGGTGTCCCTTCCCAGTGATACGGGAAGGAGGGGAAAAAAAAGATATCTGCTTCTAAAAAAGCAGGTGGTGCTGCCAGAGTTCACACAGTAAACAAGTCGAATTTCACAGGCAGAGTGGGAGGAATTTGCCACTCCAGTCCACACACAGTTACAGGAAACAGGCTGTCTTTACTCCAGTCACATGCCTAACACCCCCTCCCTCCTCCCTAGCCCTAACCCTTTTTGAAAAGCAAAACAAGAGCCCTCAGCAGACTGGAAGACTATCGTTTTCTAGGTGCCCACAATGCTCGGATCGTGAGCTGATTCTGGCAACTGGGATCCTGTGCAGTGATACAAGAAGCAGTTCCCCCAGCAGCTGTAGCAGATGAGGAATAGAGCCGCCAGGAAGACCAAGGCACAAATTGTGCAAGGTTTCCGTTCCAGGAGAAAACTGAGCAGGTAGAAGCCCATGAACATTGAGTGACTAAACCACAACGCTGGGTTGAGGGGCTTGGGTATGAGCAGGACAGGTAGCAACCACTGAAGACAGTACATTGTGGATGGCTGGTTGGGGCCTTGTGGCAGCAGTGATCAGATGTGCTCCAGAACAGTCTCCAGCAGCTCCTCTGATGGGCAGGTTGTTCTGTAAGAGGGGGGAAATGTTAGACTGTCAGAAAAACACAGCACAAAATTAACAGACATTCTTCTCCTACACTTCATTTCCTCACAAGCATCATATGCTGATGCCTGAACTCCCAGTGCTAAATCCTGGTGTGTCTCAGAGGTGGTGGAAAGTTTCCTGCTTTTTGAACCACTCAGCTGAGGACACAGTTATTGCTAGTATAGAAATGTATCCTGTGTGCTTTTTCTCATGCTGACAGCTGAGACCATTTTCTTTAGTATAGGGCAGGAACAGAAAGGAAGAGAGGGAAATGGAAAAGAAAACAAACTGCCACAACTCGCCCTACACTTGCACTCATCCAAAACCATCCAAGACCTGAGTGATGTATAAAGCAATGTAACTGAGGGGTAAAGTACAAGGTGCTACAAAGTGTTAGGGCAGCCTTAATGTAAGAAGTGTCCAGGAAGTGTGACTCTGCTTCCTTCCCAGGCAGAGACCCCTTATGAAGTCTTCCAGCAGGACAGCATAAAATTCAAGCTATACATGCAACCACCCAGGAAAGCTTCAACAGTGTCCAGGCTGCAAAACAAAAGGCAGGACAGTCCCTGCTTAAGGATTTATAGTCCTTGCCAATCAGCTAAAGTCAGATAAGACAAAGTATGTGAACAGATCAAAGAAAAGGCAGTCTCAAAACTGTAATTTTCATAAGTGCTGTAAACACAGGATTTCCTCAACTTGGATTATTATAAACCCCTGTGGAAATGGTGGCCTCTAAGGGCTTGTGGCAGGGATGGCAGCACATCACAAGTCCACAAAACATGCTTCTGCCTTTAGCAACCACATCAACTACACCAAGTATGTGGGGTTTTCTCCTAAGCAGTACAAACATCTTCATCCAGGAATTTCAGATGGCTTTAAAAACAATAAATACCTTACTAAGGTGTTTATACAGAGCAAGAACTAGTCAAAGGGGGCAGAAGAGTGGAGTTTTGCAGTCTGGGATAGCAATACCAGTTTAGAAGATACCAGTATTGTTGGGAGGGAATAACTGGCAGTTCATACTGTAGGGAAACCACAAGAAGAGGGTACTCATAGCTTATTACTCCAGAAAGGAAAAACCATACATGGGAATGCTGGAAAAGAGCTTGAGAAGCTCTTCCCTGCTATCCTGTAGCACATCATGATGGCACCAGCAACACTGAGCACTGACAGGCAGAGAACAGTGCCAGCCTTGCAGAATGCCACGGCCTCACCCCCACTAAGCAGGGTCTGGACACAACAGCTTCTTGCAGCAATCCCTTTCCTGAAATACTCCGGTTAGTAGTGCTCTGTCAGAAGGATGCAGGGCTGAGCCAAGCCTGTCAGGATTACAACCGGGGGGTGGGAAGGTTAGTAGGATGAAAGAGTGAGAAGGTAAACAAACAGCACATTCCACTCCTGTTGGCAGGGGAAGGGATTTGCTGGCCAAGGAAGAGAGAAGGAGGGATTGCACAGAAAAGCCAAGAGAAAACCACACGTGGTTCTCTTCCAAAAAACCAGAGGTCAGACTCATCTCACAGCTCTGTGAGCTCACAGGTATGAACTAGCTCTGTTGTCAGAAGCAGGAACCACGCTGCCGTGCACTGTGCTCTTAGCAGCAGGAGCTGTTTTAATATTAGTCAGAGAGAATGCAGGCCAGAATCTCCACCAAGGCAAACAGATTAAGAGTATCTGGGGAAAGTGTTGTGCTGCTGCTCTTGCAAGAGAGTGCTCTCCAACAGAGAGAGGGCAGCCTGTGTTCAATTAATAAAACTAAGCTGCAGTTAAGGCAGCCAAAGAGTATCACGTTGCAATATGGATCAAGTCAAAGGAATAAAACTCCCAGTATGTCCTGTTTTATGCAGGTTGCTCGCTTTAAGGACAAGCCTGGTCCCAAGCTTGTTTCTTCCATCTGTAAACTGGAAATATGAGTTACTTATTTCATAAGAAACCATGCTGTCTGCTAGCCTCTGTGAACCACTGAGATGTCTCTGAAGTATTAAGGAACTTTTTTTATCCCAGGGGAATAATGGGGAGGAGAGATTTAACACCAAACACTTGACCAGGGAGGCAATTAAACCCCACCACCCAGCTTTTTAGTTCAGACTGAACTGAATACAACAAAACTGTACCAAGTCAATGATCTGCAGCTGCTTTAATCCTCCCGAAATGTTCCTTCTTTGAAGTTTCCTACAGTCTTTCTCTCCCAAGTGCTCCAAACACTGAGCAGTACAAACACAGCCTAAACATCACGTCACTCTCTTGCTAGATCCAGCCCTGAAGTCACATCAGCTTGACTGTAGCTGGACACATGTGGTAATCTTTGCATCACCCTTTCTTGAAGCTTTAAAGTGCCCACAGTCAATTGCTTTGGGCTTTCTGTGTCTAAAGGAATGGATAAAAAACAACCTAAGACAATGTGTCAGAAGAGCACAAGGCTGGAACAAAGCTCTAGAATCTTCCAGGACAATGTCACAAATCAGTAGGCTTTAATAAGGCAATGTGTCACTACTGAGCCTTTAGCCCCTAAACTTTACACCTGATTACAGTTTAAGAGTGTAATTGTAATTTGGGATGCATCTGCATTTCACTCTAGGCTGGCCTCCTCACCACAGCAAAGGCTGAAGTCGATTTTTAAGCATGTAAAATCACCTGAACACTTCCTACAAACACAAAGCTCTCTCAGAACAAGTTATACACATTTAAATGTTGGTATTTCTTGCCAGAGCCAGTTGCTTGTAACAATCAATGCAACCACTACAGAAGAAAGAATCATTTAATAGTGGTTATTCTTACTGTGAGTTTCAAAGCCAATGCCCTTCAAACCTCTGAGACTTTTGACAAATGAAAACATTTGAAGCTAGTCTTGTATCTGTAGTCAGTTTGTTTCTATTTTCGTGTGCCTCTCCACTATCCATTAGCTAAAATTTGAAGAGCCGTTGCTGCATCCCACAGCTGTTCTTAGACAAGGTACCTACTATGAGAGACTTCTGCAGCTTTATCTTCCTCATGTACTTTCCACTAGTAACATGCACTCTTCCTAGCTACTCTCTCAAGATTCCTTTATACAGCTGGCAGTGAGACAGAGCTCTCTTTCCATGCTATCAATCAAAGAGAAGCAGCATCTCCCGCTATAACTCTTACTGAGCAGGGAACCATCAGTCTCCGTGGCGTCCAGGGAGTTCTTGAAGCCACACAACATCCAGCTTTGCCTTGATTCTCAAGCGAGGTGAAACTTGCAAATTAAGAATTCCTACCTTGTTTTCTCTGTCCCCTCCTGATGATCTAGGCTAAAGATTACCACATGCCAGAGCAAATAATAACCTGTCACCCAACAGTATTCCTACCAGTTCCCTGTTTCACAACCACATCCTGCTTTTCCTCAACCAGTTGCTCTTGTTCTCCCCCTGCCTGACTCATCCCGTTCCTTGGCCAGGCTGGTGTCCTGCTATCCTCCAGACTGCTCTCGTGCTCCTGCTCAATCATCTGACTTGGCGACAACTCGTGTTTACCAGACAGCTCCTTTTCATCGCCCCACCACTGCCTCCTCTCACTCCTCTGCAGCTCTCGGAGCCACTTGAACTCACTTCAGACCCCTCAGCAGCAGAGAACAGGCGACGCTCCCGCTGCTCTCCCTGACCTCCATGTGCTGCCAGAGCCCCCTCCCTGCCAGCTCCAGGAGGCGTTCCAGGGAGGTTCCCTGCTCACCTCACTAGTAAGCAAAAACCAATATTTTTCCACATGCTTAGTAATCAGCTTCCATCGTGTTGGCAGCCTTTCTTTCTGCCATCTACTCTCCCAAGCCCATTCAAAACCAGCAGGTCCTACTGGCATATGTTTGTGGGGAGGGTTTTCCAACCCCAGGGGGAGGGTAGCTGCAAACCTTTCCCAGGCAGAAACTAAGCTTTAATTATGACAAGTGAAAAGACTAGCCCAGCCCAAGTCTGTAGTGCTTTGTAATGCATCAGTCACACTTGCGTGTAAATCCATCTGAGGAGCTCACAAGCTGTTCCTTGATATTCTACAAGATAATTCAGCAATTAAGAGGCCAGGAGGTGTTCCTAAACCACAGGTTTTATACATCAGCATGTCAACACCAAGCCTGTACCTTTCTCAATTCTTTAGTAGTCCATTTACTCTGATAGGGGAGAATAATCAACCAGCTTTCACTAAGCATGTAAAAGATAAGCTTGTTCAGACCTTACCAAGGCAGCTGTTAAGCCAGTACACTCCACAAGGCACATCCCCAGCAGATGCTACAGAAACGGTCACCCAGGCTGGCAGCCAAAAGGGCTGTGATAAAAGACTGAGTAACCTTTTTATTGGGGGGTGCCAATCTCCCCCTTTCCCAGAAGCTGAAGTTTCTGTTACACTGTCTAGATAAAAATCTCTGAGGTTACACAATGCACATAAACTTAAGAGTAAGCCTCAGGGACTTGCACTGAGCCTCTTACCTATAAGGCTGACCTGTGGTACAGTTCACTTAAACCAAAAATTGTCACAGCCACATGCTGTGAACCAATGTGTGTGGGCAGTGCTTCACACTGCCAGTATGTGTTCAAATACCATGTAGCACCCAAAACCCTACTAAAAATACACAATATCAAAAGTATTGGGGGGGAAAGAGGTGAAAGAGCTATCAAGTAACAAGCCTGCTTTTCTTAGCTGAATCTCAGCAGCAGACCAGCTCTCCAGATGCCAACTCCTTCTCTCAAAACCCAAGCACCATAATTGGTCAGACTTAAGACCTATTTACAGTATCAGGGATCTCACTTCAGGGTTTTTGGCCTTGCTCCTATTTATTCTATTTTTTTAAGCTTTATCTGCTGGTTATGACTCAGCTGGAAAAAGCGAGTCTTCAATTTTTAGCAAAGGCCTCAGCCCAGTCTCTGTTAAGTTTGTGCCTTGAACACTTGATGTAGGCTCAGAAATGGTGCAATACAATTGCAGACAGTGTCCAAAAGAGCGGCAAATCCTTGACTAACCAAGCCTTGGGGTTATGAAGTGTTCTGATTTCTCAAGCTTGAGACAAGCCAAATCAACTTGTTTCATGAAAAGCAGAGGCTCTGCTAAGCCACTGTCTTCACTGCTTCCACAGCTGCTCTCTGAGCTTCATTACTGACTGGGGATTGATGTGTCCAGAGGTAGTGCAGTGCCTGCTCCGCCAGGACTGCAGTGCCCTGCCAGCACTGGGGTGAATAAACCCCACCTGTGAGCAGGAGGGCAGGGTATGATCCGTGTTTCTCTGCACAGCAAATCACAGGAACAAAACCTGAAGTCAGCCAGCTCTGTGGTGGGGAAGAGATGTCAGCATCAACAGTTGTCATCTGAAGTATCACTACCTTCATTTGTACTGATTTACTAATCCTCAGGGGTCCTCATTCCCACCCTCTGCCTTTATTTAACTGCCAAAGATAACCAACTCCAGGCCTATTCCAAGTTCCCTGAAAAAAACGAGTTTCAATTTGGATCTCTTCTCTGTGCCTTCAATGGGCTTCAGAAGTCTGAATAGTCTCATAAAGGCCAGTTTTCTGCATCTTGGGTAAAGAAAGGCAAAAATACAGCATTGGCAGGAGGTTTTGGGCAGTTAAAAGGCAAAGGGTACTCTGCTACCACAGTATTTTCAAGATCAACTGCAATGTTTGAATACAGGGGAAATGAAGTATAGGAGAGATTGGCGTGCTGTGGGTTGCATCTAAGAGCGTTGTTCTGATATTCTCTTGCCCGTTTGGGATGTAATAAGCAATGCTTGTACAACAAAAGGGGTTGTACGCTTGCTCTGCAACCGGATGAAAGCATCCACGGGGGAAGGTACCCGGCCGGGCACAGCAGCGCGCTGCTGGGTGGAAGGATGTCAGGGAGTTGTGCTGCTCTGGGAGGAAATGGGCCTGGGCCTGCTGTTGGAAGGTGCCGACAAGAGCAGAGGTGTAGAGGGGGGAAGAGGAGCCCGTGGCGGGGGGCACACGCCGCGAGGCTGGCGATAACCTCAGCGTGCTCGCGGGGCTGGAGCCGGCTCTGCTACGGGAGCGCGGCTCTCCCCGCACCGGCACCCGCCAAGGGCTGCCTCCCGGCCCCCAAAGTTACCCAACTGCTCCCCCGGGCCCGGCACACCTCCGCCGGCACCGAGGCCCGCAGGGACGCGGATCCCCCCCATGGGGGCTCCTCTCCCCCCCGCCGCCGCTCCGGAGGTAAGCCGGGCCCCGGCACACCCCCCCAAGCCCTCGGCCCGCTCCCCTCCGCCCCCTGTGGCCCGTACTCACGGCGCGGCGCCGCCGCCTCACGCCGCCATCCCGGGGCCGCCTCCTCCGCGGACCCTTGCGCGCCGCGCCCTGAGGAGGGAAGGGAAGGGACGGGATGGGAGAGGCCGCCCTGGCGCCCCGGCAGGGAGCCGCCGTCCACCGGGCCCCGGCCGCAGCTGCCCCCGCTCCGCCGAGGGACCGAGCTCCGGCGCCGGGGACGCGCCCGTCCGTCAGGCGGCGCCGTTGGAAGCCGCGCAGTGCGCGTGCGCGGAGTGAGGAGCGGGGGGCAATGCGCTTGCGCGGGCCGGGTGTGCCACGAGCGGCGGGGCGTGCGTCCCATGGAGCCGGCGTGGTGGGGAAGGAGCTTGGGGAGAGGGGGGTCCATGCGCGCCCCAGCGCTGCCAGGGCCATCGCTAACCCACGGCCACCGCTAACCCACGGCACGGAGGGCCTCGGCTGCAGCGGGTGTGAACGCTTCCAGGGACCCGCTCCAGCACCTCAATGTCTGTCTTGTAGCGAGGGGCCCAGAACTGAGCACAGGGTTCATGGTGTGGCCTCTCCAGTTTCCTTCCTTTATAAACAGTTACAGAACCATGGCATGGTTTGAGTTGGAAGAGACCTTAATGCTCATCCAGTTCCACAGGCACCATCCTGCCACGGGCAGGGACACCTACCACTAGAGCAGGTGGCTCCAAGCCCGTGTCCAACCTGGCCTTGAACACTGCCAGGGATGGGGCAGCCACAGCTTCTCTGGGCACCCTGTGCCAGCGCCTCAGCACCCTCACAGAAAATATCTGTATTTATGCATTTCTTTCCCCTTTTAAATTTTAAGCGTCATTTGCACGCTCTCTCACACAGAGTTTGCTGCAGCTGCATGGTACAGCGTGGCTCTGGCACGTTGGCTGCATGGCACGCTGTGCACATGGAGTTTTACACACTGTTTGCGTGCTGCTTTACGCACTGTTCACCTGCTTTCTTGCATATGGAAGGGCACTGCATGTCTGCAGGCAGCTCACATGTTTCTCAGACGGGTGGCCTGCTTTGGGTGTGCTCTTCTTGTATGTGGCTGCATGGTGGTTGCAGGCTTTTTTTTGTGTGTGGTTGGCACGTGTCCTTACAAACCACTGCACGCTGTCCACATGCTCAGAGTGTTTGCACTGTGTGCCACACCAAGTCCTTGCTTCCCTGCATTGCATCACATACTATTCTTAGGTTTGCTTACATGCTGCTTTCTTGTTGCGCATGGCAGTTGCTGATTTAGTCCCATCCAGCCCCGAGGGGCCCCAGTTTTCGGTGCTGCAGTAGAGTGGGCATCTGCGCCCTTCCTAAGCTATGTCTCAAAGAGGTATAGAGCAGACACAGCTCTCTTAAACTCTTCTGTTTGTGACACTGGCTGAGTATTGCTGTGCTGGCAGCAAAGCCTGGGCTGCTGTGAGTGTTCCAGCTCCAGCCCTTCCCTTTGCAGACACCCAGCAGCAGGTTACCAGGCACAGTTTGACCCAAGGGGGCCATGCAGGGGAAGGAGCGAAATAGTCCGTGAAAAAAAAAACAAACCCAAACACTAAGATTTGGGTTTTCCCCAGCTGTTTAAACCCACCCAGTCATGGTTACAGAGCCACCTGCATGTCCCATAGGGCTTTCTGCTTGGCTGGCCCCTATGTTTGATGGGTGTGATAAGACCAACTCCCTCAATGGTCCAACAGGCAGGAATCCCACCTGGATGGTTTCCCTCCTGCCCTGCTGTTAATTTGAGCTGAGCTCCTTACAGGCTGTTTAAATTCCTGGTTTATGGCACTGCACATGGACAGCCCCAAACCCTTTGGCTGATGCCACCTCTATGGCAGCTCCCAGCTGGCCCTGGCACAGGCTGCTTCCTCCTCCTCAGCTCAGGGACACTGTTTCCTGCAGCAGTGCTGTGTTTCTTGTGCTATTTTTGTCTGGTTTGGCTTGTGGTGCCAGCTGTGCCCATGGGCACTGGCCCCAGTGCTTGGGGCGCTTTGCCAGATCCCACCTAATGCTTGGGGAGCCAGGCTAGTGGGACCTTGACTGCTCCGTGCTGATGGTTGTAGTCTGCATGATTTATACTGGACCCAACCTGAAACAAATTAAGGTCTTTAACTCTCTTTGCAAACTGCAGTGTGGGCCGAGATTCCTGGCTGCTTTTCCCTCTGCTGATGCAGGAGCTGCACACTCGCTTGGTGTTTGTTTGGTTTTAGTTCTAGTTTCTATATAAAGAAGTTCCGTTTTGCACTTGAAGCCTGGCTGGCGGAGCCGCAGCAGCAGTCCTGGGGCTGCAACCAGCATGAGCTCCCAGGCCTGTGGCATCTTTCATAGCAAGCAGGGACAGAGGGATCCTCCCAAACTCATGTATTTCATGTTTTGACAGCTCTGCAGGCTGCAGGGAGCCATCCAGTGGAGTGGGTCCATAAGGAGCTGCAGAGAAGGCATCTCCAGCAGGGAAGGGAAAGGTAAACCCAGGACAGTGGGAACAGACTGTTCTATGCAGGACACCAAGCAGTGGGAGTTTTATGGTCTTTCTGTTCAAGTGGAAGCTTTTAAAGGACCTCTGGCTGTGCTTTGCTGTGATTCCGAGTAATATTTATTCTAATGGGCTCCTGTGCATTGTTTAGCTGCTTGTAGGGAGCTGTGTGTCCCTACCAAGTAAGTTGTCTGGCTGCAGCTCAGCACTTGGGCTTTTCTGAGCCCAGAGGCTCTCAGAAGCTTTGCGGATACTGTGGGTGCAGAGGAGCCATTGGACAGATATGCAGAAACGATACCAAGGCGGCAGAGGAGGATCCTGTGCTGCAGAGGGCTGAGCAGATGGAGGGGTTTCAAAACACTGCTAGAGAAGCTTTTTCCTGAGAAAGAGGGGACAGACATACACCATGGCCAACAATTAATTTGCAGACTGGCTCAAATGTGGTGAAGCATGGAACGAGGGAGCTGTGAAACGTGGCAGCTTTGCAGGTGAGGTGGTAGGATAGATGAACCCATCTCTGCTGCAGTCACATCCCTTCCCGTGTCTGCATCTCCTCCCAGCTGGCTCACGTAGCATGCTGGAGACTTAGTGGCTCACAGTCTTACAGGGTCAAATCTGCACGTGGGGCTGAGAAAGTAAAAACAACCAGGAGCAGCACAAATGTACAAAACTGGTCAAGTTTACTTCTAGCATTGTTCCCAGCATATAAATTACCCCTCTCCCAAACAGAAGTCCTACACCTTTCCCAATCCCATAGCAGTGCAGTTCAGTAGTCAATGGGCTTAGAGTCATTTCCCATCTTCACGATGGAACCAATCTCTCAGCTTATTGGATCCCGACGAGATATCCAGGCAGAAGAATGGAGCAGACTGCTTCAATCAAAGACAAGGGGCCAACAGTGCTCTGCTCCTTGGATCTCTCCATGGAGCTGCCGTGGTTTCTCTCAGAGAGGGGGCACCCCCCTAAACTTGCGGATGACGTTGGCCAGCCGCTTGGCCAGCCCGCCCCGGCTCGGCTCTTCCACATGAAATGTTCTGGTCAGCAGGTTGTAGAAGGAGCCGTAGCACACTGCCACCACGGTGCAGGTCAGGCAAATGACATTATAGGGCATGCTGAAGTCTGGCGTTGGCAAGTTCACCAGCAGTGGCTCTGTGTACAGGCGCACAAAATAGCTGGAGCCATCAGAGGAAGGAAACCTGGAGAGTGGAAGCAGGAAAGGGAGAGTCAGCCCACACAGGACTTCTGCTTCGTGCTCACCAGTTGGGATGACAGCAGCCAGCAGCTCGCCGGTGCTGAGGTACAGCCCTGCTCCTCAGCACAGGTACACTCACAGTGAGGTGAAGAGTGGGCTCTCCTCCACATCCATGTCCTTCATAGCAATGATGCTGGGCACTAGGGCACTAAGCACAGATGAACTAAGGAGACAGAGGACATATTAGTGTCAGTGCTGTCAGCAAAGAGATGGCAAGAATTTTTCCCTGTCCCCAGAGACCTGGACAGCAAGTCCTACATAGGCCCAGAAGGGGACAAGGAGCCGAGGTATGCGTTACCTGACGTAAAAGCCGTGATTGGGATCTGGCGGGTACTCTGTCCACTTCAGTAAGGCTCTCTCAAACTGTATTGAGATCTTGGTGACGGAGTTGGCTGGCAGCTGGATCAGCATTTCCAAAAGGTGAGGCCGTTGCCGGTCCTGAGCTGGCTGGTAGTGGATGTAACCTAACCCCAAAGAGAGGTGTCAGTGGCACCAGGGAGACCTTGTTCCATTTCGCAGTGCCTGGACATCTCCCATGGGGTGGGAGCTCCTGCTTCCACTGTTCTGGGAAAGGTTTCCTGGGCAAGTGAACATGAACAGCTCAAAAAACATGTGTTACAGCTATAAATCTGATGACCCATGAAAGTCTAAGAAAAGGTACAAATGCAAAATAAGACCCAGTCATCAGTTTTGAATTTCCTTTACTACAAAAATCAATTCACTTTTGTTTAGCCTGTTACTGGATTATGAAATGCAATCCATGAGCCTTTTATAAAACAGACTTAATAAAGTCTCATCTGCTGTGAGGGCTGAAGGGAAGGTTAGGAAAACATCCTATGATGTTTTGTTTCCCAGTGATCACTGAGGCCCAAGGGAGGGACTAAACCACCTCTGGAATGAGCCACTTGTGCCAAAAGAATCAATTGGGTGGCATGGGCTCCTGGGAGGGTTTACTTACTTGGCTTGTTTTCCTTCCCCTTTGTGATGATGGTCAGAGTGTGCACATAGAGTCGCAGATACCAGGGCACAGTCTCCAGCAGGATTACGGGGAAGGCCCGGTACGGGTGGGTGTTATAGATGAGGGTGCTGATCTCTCCGGTCTGCAGCCCGTACCCGCTCACGTAGCGCTGAGCATGGAGTACAGGTATCGGCATTTCCGCTGCGAAGGAGAAAATGAGACAGGAACGGGGAGCCATGCCAGGTGAGTTTTAGGCCTAAAGCCCTGGCCAGTGATGCAGGTGGAGGGAAGTTATGGTCACTCACAGCTGTCTTCAGGACGCTTCCATTTGAACTGCACATTGAGGCTGTGAGAGGTATTAAAGAGTGAGGGGCTCAGTAGGTCATAGACGGCATAGGTCTTCTTGTCTCCCTGGACAGTAGCTTCATATACAGATGTTGGAGCAGGGGTTACTTCCAGTAACTCCTTTTCCTTTGAAAACAAATGGACCATTAAAGGAAAAGTGCCCCTTGAAGGAACTGGCAGCACTGGAGCAAGGCCACTCCATCCCGCCCTGAGCTTCCCCACCCAACAGCCAGCTCAAGTGGTCTTACAATACCCCCCCATTCAACCCCACTGCCCTGAGGGAACTCCCCTGAAGGGCTTCTGGGGGGTCCCACCATGCTGGGTGGAGGATGTTTGAGTCACACAAAGTGGCTGATCTGAGGAAGCAGGGGGTATTCTGTAGTCTGTATGCATTACCTTGTTCTTAGGGGAGATGTCAACGTAGACTTTGCTCTGCGATGCCAGAGGACATGCATCAGTAAGTGTGCGGGAGAACATCTTGAAGAGGGACCAGTCTGCAGGAAGCCAAGTTAGTGGCAGGCAGTGATGTGCTTCAGGCTGGGGCACTAGGGGAGCACAGCACAGAGCTGCCAAGTTTACCTTTCTTTCCTTGGCCACTAGAAAAGGTGTCAAAAACCACAGTGAGGGTCTGCCTGAGCTCCCAGGACACAGCCAGGCAGGAGGCATCCTAGACACGAGAGAGATAGGTGACTGATCACACCTTCCAAAGGGGCAGGAAACCAGGATGGAGCTGGAACTCCACCAGGAATGCAAGAATCCCATCGGAATGTAAGTAAGACCAGGGAAGCAGGACAACAGTTGTGTTAGACACAGTGCTGAACACACCACAGGGGAGTTGGGCAAACCAGCGTGTCACCTTGCAGTGCCACAAGAAGGCTTTGTGTTTTCTCTTGGGGGTGTTAAAGGAGGGAGCCCTGAGCCTTGTGCTTACCCTGCAGATGGGGCGGATGTGCACTGCCTGTGAGTGGTAGCTGCTGTGGAACAAGCGCTCTGCCTTCAGCAGCACAGCAAGCCCAGCCTGCACGGAGAGAAGGTGAAACTCAGCCTAGGTCTGTCCTCTCCCTCCACTGACAGAAAAGCCCTGCTGAAACTTCCCACTGCACACTCCTGGATCACTGGAAGGAACCCAGAGCCGTCAGGAGTGGCCCAACGAGGCAGCAGGACTTGCTGTTACCTTTGAGCCGCACGGGAGCAGCTTCTTCCAAGGCGTGAGGTTCTCAGTGCAGACGACCTCCCGGGGCAGGACAGCATATCGCAGGAGATCATGATCTGTCCCTGGGCAGGGAGGTGAAGAGTCAACATGCTGGTACTGCTACAGGCATAAGAACAGATGCAGGGCCCCTTCCACCCCCACTGGACCTCACAGCCCACCACCCTCTCAATGTGCCCGAAATGCCATGAGCTCAATCAGGAACAGATCCCACTGTGTTCAGAGTGATTTGGAAAGAACAGGGGAGGGCACATTCTAGCAGATTTTTTTCTTCATGAGTCCTTAAATCCTCTAGTCCTGTTTCATAAAGTATTCTTCAGACACAGACAAGGGCCTGGGAGCTTCAGCCACGTACTGCTTGTGGGTTTCCTCTGTTCAAATCCAAGCCTCTCTTGTAGGGAGAGGAAATGCTTCCAGGAAGAGGTTGGAGGTTAACAGACCCTGTTGTACAGACCCAGACCTATTGCAGGACCTGTGGCTGGACTCCCTGCAATGGCACAGGGCAGTACTAAAGATAGAAGCAAGAGTGAGAGGGCAATGCCTGGCTCACCATTGGCTAAGCCCAGAGGTTTGAAGGATGCTGTTGGAGTGACTGTGTTGGTTGCATCAATGAAGTTGAGAGAAGCACAGAATATTCCTGAGAGGATGTTACTTAGCTCTTTCCAGGCTTTGTCAACACTGTGTGAGAACAGATACCAGAGATTACTCAGCAGCTCAAATCCTTGGAAAAATAAGCATGAAGTTAGCAACATTCAATAAATACACCAGGGAGCTCACTGTGGTTTTCAGAAGCTGCAAGGAGCATGCAGGTAGAGGCTGCAGGTCATGTACTTTCTGGCTCTCTAGGTATTTTATTTTAATGCATGAGATCTGGGGGACAGGGGCAGCCACTTCAGGCAGGGACATGGTAGTGGGTGCAGCTGGTACATGGGGTGAGAGGCTGGGGGAACAGGGCGCATGCAGGAGGTGATATATGGTGTATGGGGAAGGGGCTGCTGTCAAGTGACACCTTGGTGCAGCTCTGAAGGCTGACATAACCAGCAGATCCAGAACAGGCTATTTGTAGGCAGAAGAGAGCTCTGAGTACACAGAGGGCTGCTGGGGCTGAAAGAGGGTGTGAGTGATAAGGGAGATGGTGACAGGCACAGGATGGCAGTCAAAGGAAGTGAGTCACTAATGAGAGGTCAAGATATAACCCCGTCATATTAACAGAACAAGAGGTTTGTCATCACAGAGCCCATAAGGGAGTTATTTGTTCCTTTAGCGAACAAGGGTTTGCCCTCAGCACCACACCCTGCCCCATGCATTCAGCTGGGGGCTATATTCTGCTTTCTGTTACAGCTGCTCATAGGCTCTTTATTCCAGCAGACATTTTGCAACTCAGGAGCCCTGCCTGTCTGACATGAGAGAGGGGCGGCTCCCCAGAGCGGTGGCTGCAGAGAGCACCCAGCGGGACAGATCTGTGGCTGGGATACCTACTCAGTGACGGTGGGCTGGAACCAGACCCAGAGCTCAGCACCGGCGGGTGCCTGGAGGGGCGGCTGCCCCCAGGCCTGGGTGCGCCAGAAGCCCTGGGTGAGGGCGAGGTGGAGCTCCCGCACGCCCAGCGCCGCCACCAGCTGCCCCAGCGCCTTCGGGAAGAGCCTGTAGTGAGAGACTGCAGCCGGCATCAGCCCCTGCCCAGCTCATAGCACAGTTGGGGTTGGAACGGATGCTGATCATCCATGGGCAGGGTCACCTCATCCCCCCATGACGTCACACCAGGAACATGATGTCACCCCTCGTGCCACCCCCTGCTCACGTCATCACGAGCAGCCCGATGGCATCACCGCGGTGACGTCACTCGTGCTGATGTCACCGCAGCCCTCAGCTCCCCGCCATCGCTTCGCCCTGCCCCGCTCACCTCAGCACCCCGCCACCTCACCCCGCCTCCGACGTCACTCGCCCCGCTGACGTCATCCCCAAACGCGGTGACGTCACCACCCCGATGCACGCCGTCACCTCGCTCAACGGCTCCGCCCCCGGGCCCCGCCCTACCCGCGCCCCGCGGCAGGTCGGCGTCCCACCGCGTGCGGAACTGGAAGGTGGCGGCCACGTCTCCGGCGGGCAGCGGGCTCAGCAGCAGCTCCTCCCGCAGCGCGTCCCGACCGGGGCCCGCCGCCGCCGCCGCCGCCCGCCCGGGGCCCGCGGCCGCCGCCAGCAGCAGCACCGCCAGCGCCAGCATCCCTCCACCCCGCACCGCCGCCGACTTCCGCTTCCGGCCGTAGGGCCGATGGCGGCGGCTTCCGGGGTTGCCAAGGAGACGCGGCGCTGCAGGCCCCGTCTCGTCTCCTCCCGCCCGGGGAGGGCCTGGCCGCGGCTCGCGATCTCCGGCCCGTGGTGGGGAGCGAAGCCGGAGCGGCGGGAGGGCGCCACCTGCGCGGCTGTGCCTGCTCCCGGCCCAGGAGCGAGGGTGTTCCGGCGGGTGCTCCCTCCTCCGGCGTTCAGAACGGGAGCCGCAGGGGAAGCTCCAGAGCGGCCCGGGCTCGGGCGGTTCGCTGCAAGGCTTTGCCGTGTACGAGGGCTCTGCCACCACCGTGCCCGTCCCCGGGTAACCTCCTCGTGTCAGCCCTCCCCGCCGCTGCCTGCTCTCACTCGCTCCTTGAGGTCTCCGTTCCGGAGGGCAGCGCCCATCTCTGGGCACAGAGCCGTCTGGAAGCACCCCACTTCCACCAGCTGCGAGGCTGTGCCGATGGAGCTCACGTCTTATTCCCGTCGGTCGTTCCCGGATAACCGGAGTGCTGCAGCCGTTCTCACCGAGGGTGGGCTGTGCAGGAAGGAGCGTAGTAAGGTCTGACCCCCCCCGGAAGCAGCCGGGATGAGGAGTGTTCCCTGGCTCCTCTTGCTTATCTCCCAGGCTCTTTTCCTCGAGGGGTTGACCACGGTTGTGCTGATACAGCCAGAGCAGGAACAGCATTTTCCTGGCCTGCAGCCACTGATAGCAGCAGCAGGCTTCTGGCCAGCTTTGTGCCTAGCTCCTCCTGACCTGTCCTGCAGGGAGCAACTGTAGTGGGCTAAAAAGTGGCTTCATTTGACGGCTCTTCCTTTATTCCTCCAGCCAGGGCTGCTGCTGTGATGCTGTGCTGGGGCAGCAGTGGCTGCTGCTGTTGTGTATGCTCCTGCATGGCACCTTTTGCACGCTGGATTGACACCACTCACCCTTGTACAAGCCCCACCTAACCCTCACCCCCAGTGCTGTTTTCTCCCAAGAACACACACAGCCACTGGTTGTTTAGACTGGAGTGTTATTTCTCTGTATGCCATCGTTAAACGCTTCTCTGGACAGGACCTTTGTCAGTAGGGCAGGGGGAGCTGGGATCCCAAGGGATGGCTTTCTGGGAATGGTGGGGCTGTGGGTTGCTGAGCGTTTCAGGGGAGTGAAGCAGGGAGTGTTAGCAGCAAAGCCTGAAGAGTTAATTTGGGGAGCCTACAGTACCCCTTGTTCCTTCTCCATTGGCTGCCAGGAGAACCTGCAGAGGGAGAGGAGGGGAAACTCATCTCGCCCCTCTTGCAGGGCAGCAGTCCAGTGAGGGGTTTACTGAGTGCCAGCAGCTTTCCTTCCTCTGGGCTGGCAGGTCCATGTGAGGAAGCTGGGAGCAGGGCAGAGCTGGCTGCTAGCTTCTTGCTGCTGCCTGCTCTTTGGGACCGTCCTCCTGCAGATCCTCCTCATCTGACTGCACCACAGGGGTCTCAGCCCCCTCCTCGCTGGTGTCCAGGCTGTTCAGATCCGTGGAGACAGAGGATGTAGAAGAAATGCGTGACTTGCTCTCAGCTGCGTTGGGCACTTGCAGGGTGATTTCCTCTGGGCACTGGCTGGCATCTGCCCCTGGAAGAGAGTGTGGTAAGAGAAATAAAAATGCTTCTGGAGGCTTACTGCTCCCTAAACTTCATGGAGAGCCCCTCCAATACGTGTCTTACTCCCTGGCATGATATGCTTTCCTGGCTGCTCCCCATGTGGTGGCTGTAGCTGTTCCCCATCTCACACCCCCAGCCTGGCTCTGGGTAGTGCTGCACATTCCTTCCCTGTTTTTGACAATGGAGCCTTTTCCATCTCCTGTGAACCACAGCTTGGAGCCATGCTGTGTGAAGCCACTGGCTGCAGCAGGCAAGGAGACGTTCTGCTTAGCCTCGGTGAATCACTTCAACTTGTGCGTGTGTGGAGGAAGATGCTGCACCCTGCAGGACCTGAGCCCAGCTCCCTGAGGTCTGGTTGGGATGTGGAGGGGTCTTGCAGCCTTTCTGCTCAGTGCAGGGAGCTCTGCAGTCTGGAGGGGACCAGGGAAATCATGACAAGACATTGGCTGCTCCAGAGGAGCTTCAGGACAAGAGAACTTGCCCCACAAACTCTGGGGAGTGCCTGGGCTCTCCTGTCTTCTCCACCATAAGGTATTTACAGGAGGTCTGTATCTCTGGGCTGTGGAGGCAGATATTGACATGGACCAGCCCAGCCTGAGGTCCCTCCAGCCTCACAGACGCCAGCACCAAGTATCTTTGCATGAGTGTGTGTGTATCTGCACGCAGGGTGGCCAGAGCTGAGGAACAAGCTGATGTGGGCACTGGAAAGGCTCCCAGCCTGGTCCACAGAACGTTTGGGACTGCACATACCTGGCAGGGGCCCAGCAGCACTGCTCTCCTCTGTCCCACAGCCCAGAAACACATCCATGGTGTCCTGGTCTGACAGGTCCATCATGTCCATCTGCTCCAGCATGTCCACGTTCACCTCCATGGAGGAAATGCTGCCTAAGGGTGCTGCAGAGACAGAGGCCAGCAAAAAGGTGAGTGCTAGTGCCAGGCAAAGGGCTCCATGAGTCCTGTGCAGGTAGGACCCTCAGGAGGGAGGCCAGCCTTGCCCTGGGAAACTGAATCCTATTTGCTGGTAAGGGGCTCCCAGAAAAATCATGTTTCCTTAAAACATTGCTTTGGAATCGCCTCCTGTCTCACTGCAGTCCTTATCCCTGTCTCAAACTGCTGTCTGGAGGCGCCTGTCTGAAGCCAGTGACTATGCAGGGCACTAGCCTGGGTACCCATGTGCAGTGACTTCAGTTAAGTGGTGTGAGTAATGCACAGCACACCCACAGGCAGCCTGTGTGGTCCTGTCTCAGTGCAGGACATGCGTGTCGCCAGCTGTCTTTAGACTGGGTATGTCCCACCAATCTCAACTGCCTGTGTCACTGTTCCCTGAAACACCCCAGCCCCGTGCTGGTGCCTGCAGCACTTACGTCTCCGATGCTCTATCTGCAGGTGAGACATAGGGAAGAAGAAATCCACATCGTGCTGGAAAACCTCCTCAAAGAACTTCTGTCGGTCCCGTAGTTTCAGCTGCTGCTGCTGCATCTGCTCAGTGTCCAGGCCCCGCTGTGCCTGCTCCATGTTGGCTGGGGAGAAAGGTGGGGAGGGTTGGACCAGGCAGGGCTGTCCAAGCCCTTCTGCCTGGCCCAGCTCATGCGGTATGGCCATAATGGAAGGTAGGTGAGTCCCTTCTGTTCAGCTTTACCAGCGCACACTGATTTAGTCACCGTGAATAGCTGTTACACAGTAGACTGGCAGCATCACCAGCACTTGCTGTGTTGGAGCCTCAGATCTCACTTCTGAAATGCAGAGCAGCCAGAAGTGGGGAGCTCATAGGCTGTGTTCACAACTGCTGAAGTGAGTTATCAAGGGGGCAAAGGGTGTTGTTATGAGATCAGCCATGTTTTGCACATGTTCAAGTTTCAGTTTCCTTGCTATAAAACAGAGGGATGTCTGTGAACGCTAACAAGCTGAGGAAACTCCCAGGGACAAACTGGCATTATTGCTCCAAGGCTTTCTGGGATGTATTAAGGAATAAAAGGCATCAGCAACCCTGTCACTCCACACACGCGCACCCCTGCCACCAGCGTCACTATAAATACAGCCGCACCCACGCTTGCAGGCTCCTTATTCACATCCCCGCCCGCACAGCCAGCTTGGCTTCTGCCTCTACAAACATTTTCATTCCTGTAATTCCTCCTGCAGTTCAGTGCCGGTGCCTGTGGCCCAGCTCACACCAGAGAGAATGATGGGAGGCTTTGGGCTGTTGCTGCATCCCTGGGCATCGTACCTCCCTTTCAGGTTGGGTACCCACAAGGTACCCAAATGGTCCAGAGCTGGTGGTCCTGGCTGTTCCCAGGCTGGTGTTTGACCTCAGCCATTCCAGGTTTCCTCTCTGCCGCTCTTGGCCTAGCGGCACAAGGAAAATGTGATTAGCAGAGCAGGCAGTGCAGTAACCAAGGAAACCAAACAAACATCCTCTGCTTTGCCTGAGTATGGCCCAAATCCTCTGCTCCTCCAGGCCGGAGCAGCATCCCCACCCTGTCTGGCAGGAGTGGGGTGAGGACAGCGGGAAGGCTGCCTGTCAGCAGTGTGTAGCAGCACAGGACCCAAATGGGAGAGAGGTGGTGAGCCTGGTGAGGTGTCCTGGAGTACGATGTCATGTCTTGCTGAAAGCCCTCCCCAGAGCTCCTCCTCACCCTGTTTCTGGGACATCCTCCAGGTAAACCCCATCCTCTGCAGGCAACTGCCCTGGGAGGCCAGGTTGTGCCTGGGGCACAGCACGGAATGTGCTGTGACTCAGGGCCGGTCACCATGTGTTTTCTGGAAGAGGCTCTGGTCCTCTTCAGGCTGCTCACCGTCTTCCCGTGATGCCCAGGGCAGCAATCTGGGCTGCCTGAAGGGGCCTTTGCCTTGGCATGTCTGACCTAGGCACTGGGTGCCTGCTGTGGTGCAGAGGCTCAGTGTGCTGTGCAGCGCCCAGGCTGATGGCTGCAGTGAGGGACACACCGTGCCGGTGAAGCTTTCCTAACAAGGCTGACCGGCAGCTGTAGCCCAGTGCCACTGGGGTACAGCAAAAAACTCCTACCTCCCCTGTGCTATCTGCAAGAGAATGGAACCAGGACAAGGAGCAGGTGACCAGGGCACTGGGTATGAAGGTGGCTCACTTCAGCAGCTGGAGCCAGACCTGTACTATCTGTGCCAGGCAGAGCTCTGCTTCTCAGCCCAGCTGTGCCAAATCCATGGCAAACTGCAGCAGTTCACCACACCGAGGGGACTTCATCAGGCTCCAGGAAGGCTGGGCTCAGGGCAGAGGCTGCACTGGCTCCAGGTTCAGGGTGACAGACTGTGCACCATTGTGCCAAAGGGATGGCACTGTGGAGGTAAGAACGAGAAGCTCTAAATCCTCTTGCAGTGCAAACACAAAATAAACCTGAATGCTGGCAGGTGCTGTCCCAAACGCCATGATCACGGCTGAGCTGTGCCATTAGTGTTCTTGCTGTCCACCTCTCCAGAGCACGTGACCGATACTCACGGTAAGTGTGCTTGGGGAGAGTCAGGAATGCTGCATTCCTGTGGGCGCCAGGATTTCTCTTGCAGGAGAAATTAGCAGGACCTGTTTATGAACTTGTTTTTGAGCTCTCGCTGAGGAAACAGGCACGAGCACTGAGATCCCATTATGTAAGGAACGCCAGCAGCTGGGCTGCGCTTGGCCCTGCCTGACCCGTGACCGTGGTGAGAGTCGGGGATGGAGCCTTCCCCCCTCCCGGGGCTCTTCCGGGCCTGGGGGATGCGAACAGCCCTGCCAGTGTAGCCACCTCTCAGCAGCCCTTGCCGGGGAAATAAAGGAGAGTGGCGTTCCCTACCGCGGCTCTTCCCCATGTGACGGCCACTCACACTCCTGGGCTGTCAGTCGTGGGGATTGTCTCATCCCGCTGGCATGTTCCCACCGCGGGACACGTTCACACGCACAATGCGGCCCCTGTGCACTGTGGGGGATCTGTTGGTACCTGCTGGTGGCCTGGCTTTTATTACTATTGTCATGGTTATTACTACAGCAAAGGAGCTGAGGCTGATCAGCATTCAGGGCCAGGCTCTTCCCCGCTGGCTGAACCGCCCAGCACGGCTGCCACAGCACGGAGCGCCCCGCTGCCTTCAGATCCTTCCGGCTCTCACGGCTTACAAGCCAGCGCAGCTTGGAGAGGAACCAGGGCCAGGCGCTGGTGCAGAGGTTGGGCGGGCAGGGCAGGATCCCCCCAGGAGGTGCAGACAGGGATTTCCTCCTTGCCAGGGTGGGCTGTGGGTGAGGACACTGGCCCCGCTGGTCCCTCTGCCCTCGCAGGGTTTGGGCTCACAGCCACTGCTGCAGCAGGGAAAGGCTGTGAAGGAAACTGCCGCGAGCTCTCCCATCTTCACCCTTGCTGAAGCAGGCTGGGAGAGGAGCATTCCTGGGGTGCAGTTAGCATGGGGTGAAAGCAAGACAAGGCTTGAGGGTGCTGGGAGCACCAGCTCAGGGTGTTTGTGACCCAGCATCCAGGCTGGGAGCAGAGCACAGTTCAACTATCTGGCTGTGTTTCAGATAGGAGGGGATGTGTTTTTCATTCCTCCTTGCCCAGTGGGATCCCGGTACAACCCCCCTCCGTGCTGGTGAACAGGAGGGGTGTATTCAGGGGTGGTAGAGGGTTTGCTAGTGCCCGGCACAAGGCCAAGAGAGGACAGGGATGCCCTTTTCTTAAGGCTACAGCCTGGCAGGGATTTAAAGAAGGTCCTAAAATATAATCTGGGCTGTGGAAAGCTCCAGGGGTTGATGGGGAGGTGAGCAGAGCACAAACGAGGGGTCACTCGAAGCACGGTCCAGTTTCCTGGTGCATGAAAGAGCTGGGGCAGGCTGGCCCCGTCAGCTTTTGTCCTCCCTGTGCTTTCCCAGAGCCCGAATCCCTGACTCCACTCCTCCAGAGCTGGGCATCCCACTGCTGCCAGACTGCATCCGGTCCTCCCGGTCCCTGTGTGCAATGCCGAGAGGAGGTCGGGTAGGAGGAAGATGCAGATCCTCAGCTGCCACAGCATCTGACAGGAGACTCTGCTGAGATCGCAAACATTTCCCCATCACCCTGTCCCACCAAAACCACTGTGGGACAAGGGTAAATCCCAAGGCCTTTGAACTTCTTTAGCCCTTGGAGAAGCAGCTGGTGTGGAGAGCTGGGAATGCCCCAAAGAGTAAGGCAGGATCAGGCTGTGTGGAGACAGGATGCCCGGACACGCTGGCTGCCTGAGTGTTAATTCTCTCACGGTCTTTTCTCGATCAGCACATCTGACCTCGTGTTGCAGCACAGCAAAAAATAACCGTAGCCCCCGTGAGAGGAAATGCACCAGGCGAGTGCGAAGGAGGCAGTGGTTTTGGCAGAGGTACTTGCTGGGAAAAAGCAGGGGGGGGAATGAGAGAGGGAGGACATGGCACCTCGTAACCCCTATCTGTGCCGTGATTTCATTGCCTGCGCTCCTCCGAGCCATCTCCAAATCCCCTGAGTCTCAGTACTAAAAATATCCCTGCGCCCAGAGCTCCTTCCCCAGCGGCAGAGGCTGTCACAAGACCCTGCCATTATGGGGCCCTGCTTTGATTCCTGCAAAAAGAAGCGTGAGGACAAGAAACCCATGAGGACAGCACGATGCCCAGGGCATGGTGTGCTAAGGCTGGGCCCGGATCGTGGCAGGCTGTCCCCATGCGAGCTCCCATTACCCCGGCTGCCCTCATCCCCCGTGCTCGCCGGGTTTGCTCAGTCTCCTCTTTCCCTACACCCCACCGGGGGCTCAGGGCTCAGAGGGGTACCGATGCCACTCCACAACAAGCCCGCTGCCCAACAGGTCCCCGGCTCAGATCCCACGCAGGTGCCTCCCCATCCCAGCATCCCCATCCCAGGCACGGAGCTTCCCGGGCAGCCCCTGCCCGAAGCAGACGGGAAGCAGCAGGTTGGAGCAGGTGGGGTCGGGGCGCTCCAGGATGGAAAGGGAGGGCCCGGCTGCTTTGCAAGGGGCATGGGGCGGGTGTTGCGGGGAGGATGCGAGGGGCCACGGGCAGCCCGAGCCCTGCCCGTCCGGTGCGGTGCCCCGCTACCCTCCTGCCGAGCAGACCGCGCGCCGACACTTACCGGGCAGCCGCCGGCTGCGGCTCTGCGCCCCGGGCCCCGACATGCGGCGGGCGCCTGCTGCGACCGGACCGGACCGGACCGGACCGGGGCAATCGGGCTCGGCTCAGCACCCCCCCACCGCCGGCCGCCGCTCGCCCATGCTGCGCGCTGCGGGGCGGTGCTCGGCGCTGCGCGGGGCGGTGCCAGGGCGCCCAGCCCCGCGGCATCGCGGCGGCGCCTACCGGCTGCGTCCCCGGGTTACTGCTGCTCGGTCCTGCGGGGCGAAAACCCCGGTCCTCAGGGGCGTCCGTGCAGGGTCCCCGCGGAGATAAGGGTCCCGTGCGCAGTTCTCGCTCCTCACGAAGGGTCTCTGCTCTCTCGGGGCGCACAAAGTCCGCATGTAGGGTCCACGGTCCCCAAAGAGCGTCCCCCACAGAGCCCGTGCGCCGCGGCTCTGCGCACGCAGTGCCCGGCTGAAGGTGCTGTTTGGGCAGGGGTGGGCAGAGCTGGAGGCAGGGGGCTCTGCCTGGGTAGGGAGCACTGTCCCCGTTCTTGCTTGGGGTTTTCTTTTATGCTTTTCTTCTCTAAATGCCCAGCTCACGCAGTGATGCAGAAGAGACAACAGCACACTGCGTGCATGGGCCGTGGGGTCCCTCACAGCCCGCCTCCAGCCTTCTGAGACCCTCATCCCCCCGCTGATCCCACTCCGGGGTGTTTTCTCCCACTTTCAGCTCTGCACATCAGGGCTGCTCCTTGGCAGAGAAGTGGACTTGGCCGCCCGCCTCCTTCCTGTATCTCAGCAGGGTGAGTCAGTGCCTCGCCGTGCCCAGCGCCGGCTCTGCCCGCAGCCGCTCACTGCCAAGCCGGGACGGGGGCAGCATCCACTCTGCCCTTTTCTCTGGCTGATAGGGAGTTTCCAGTGTCTGTGGCGTGTCCCGCCTGCTGCGTTCTCAATGTGCTTCTCTCGCTGTCTGGATGACTAAAGATAACTGGCTATTGTTTGTCTCCCAGCTCTGTTTTAGCTACTGTTGCTCTGCTGTCCCCTCCATTTCCTCTGGGAGCTGAAACCCAGCTTTATGCTGGGGACCTGGTGTCCCCACCCTGTGCACTTGTCCATAGCTGCTGGCTTCACTCACATGGTGATTGAATTTTGGGATGAATTTTGCCCATGTGTTTATCTGTATCCAGAAGCACCCTCATCCTGCCTGATGGTTTCCACCTGAGTGTGTGTTGCCAGCACTATGGCTTAGCCCTGGAGGGCCGGGGGAGCCAGGCTGGTGTAGGGTGGAAGGTTTCATGATCTCTGAAGAGGTGCAGGAGCAAATCTCCACCAGGTATCTGCCGGCTCTGGCTTGCTCACAGCTCTGTGTGGTCTGGCACGGCCTCTGGGAAGCATCAACCATTCCCTGCTGACCCCCTGCCCTGCTGGCAGGGAGGCGAGGACCAGGGAACTACCTCACATCTCTGCTATGTGACACGTCTGTGTCGATTGGCACCAGTTACTGCTGCAAGACAGAGACTGGTCCTGTGTCCCCTGGAGCACCCCAAGTTCCCTTGGACTCACTGTGGCCCCTACTGCGGGATGGGGTGTGTGTGTGCTGCCTGCACAGGGTGACACACACCCGTGCTGCTGCAGCCCCTCTGTCCTGCCTTGTGGGAGCCGGCTGGAGAAGCAGCGATATCATCGGCACGGAGCCTGACTCATCCCAGCTCTTCAGCACAAGCCGTGCTGCTCAGCAGGGTACACGTTTTATTCCAATTAACCCAACACAGGCAAGCCAGCTCCATGTAATGAGTTTTTGCTTGTGGCCAAGTGTGCCTGCTCCTGGCTAAAAGGTGAGAGAAGACAGAAGTGATGCTGAAGTCAGTTGAGAGTCTCCCCTTGTAGTGAAGAGCTCTAAGAATAAGCCTTGCCAGATACCTGCAGGGTCTGCCTCAGCTGCCACAGCACCCCTGCCTCCCTTGTGCCTCCAGCATAGGGTGACAGCACACTGTCCTGTGTCAACAGCCCTCACCCTAACCACAAAGGACCAGGTCACTGCGAAGTGTGCCCTGGAGATCCAGGTCACAAGCCCAGGTAGGAATAATGCCTCTTCTCTCTGCAACAGAGTTCAGCTGCCGCCAAAAGTCCCAGGGGAGCCAGCATCAAAGTACACCCGTCATCAGGAGAAAATGTAATGTGACTTGTTCCTCCTGCCCTTCCTGCTCAGGTTTCTCATCTATTAGAGGTTTGGGTGGTAAGTCAAGGGAGCTGCCTTCGAGGATGGAGCTGAGGAGTCGTCAGCTGCTACGGGAAAGGTAAACCAGTGCCAGGCAGGTGAATCACTTGCTGATGAAAATAGATCTTATTCTCTAGGAGGCATGTGTGGATGGGGTTAGGACTGAGCCGCAGCTTGACTCCATCAGTAACTTGTGGAGCCAAGAGAAAAACAAGGCAGGGCTGCTTTCCCAGTGAACGAGGCAATACATTGTGAGGGAGCAGCCCGCAGCAGGCAAGGCTCCAGCAACCCGTGGTCCTGTGGCTCCCTTAAAAGGGTCGATTTTAGCCTGGGACAGTGGGGAGACAGAAAAGCCATAAACACCCTCAGAGGAATGTGGCTGTTGAGAAACGAGCATCTCCGCTGGGCCAGGGGGGAGGCGGGGGGAGCGGGGCTGCACCGAGGTGCCGCTTGGCTGGGGTTTACAGCACTGTTGTGTACATGGCCTTGAGAAATGGCACCAATGCGGCCATCAGGAGGCCAGGAGCTGCTCAGGGCTGGCTGGTCCCGCTCTGCAACAACATTTGCAGAGTCCATGAAGTTGGTTTGGGTAACAAGAGCTGTGGGATTGCAAGGGTGTTTGCATGTGTTGGTGACTGCCATGTACCCTGTGTGTTTGGGCAGGGTGGGCAGAGGACCCTCTGGTCCCATAGTGTTCCCTCTTCTCCATAGGATGGTACATTATGCACCTGCCTGTCCTGGTCTCCAGGGTAGGCATTCAGGTAGGCAAAGCCAGCACACAGGTTCCTCTGGATGCCCCACGCTGCACAGAGGCTGAGGTGCAGCTCTGTACTTGCTGTGCACCCCAGGAAATCACTGTCACTGAAAGTAGTCACACACTGCATAGACAAGGCCCCTAGTGACATGGGTTAGTGGTGGCCTTGGCAATCCTTGGGTAGCAGTTCAACTTGATGATCTTAAAGGTCTTTTCCAATTTGGTAGATTCTATGATTCTATGAAATCCTCCACCTGCAGCTCCCCTGATCTCCTGTTCTGGCCCCTGGGCAGTGCTGTTGGGGTAGTGCAAAGGCCATGCTTGCTGTTGGCAGCAGCAGGGACCAGAGCTCACCGGCACAGGATGTATCTCGGCACTGTCAGTACATGACCACTGGGCAGAGTGACCAGGAATAGACCAACGCATGGGATGATCCTTTGGGAGACAGCAGAATGGAGGCAAACAGGTGGGTAGGGATGGGTATGGGCATTGTGGGGACACCTCTTGTGTTGGCAGTTGGCTTCTTCTTGCCCTTCCTGTGTAGAAGCAGCCCCGGGAGTTGGCTTCAGAGGGTCAGTGCTGTGTGAAGGCAGAGGTGAGGGGCTGGGAGGCCAGGCTGGGCACAGGCAGCATGTTGGGGGCAGCCCCAGCATCCTGTAGGCTGGCCCCGTCCCAGCCCAGCCAAGGGCAAGCAGTCCATAATATTCCTGCTTGAGGAGGTGCCCTCAGGGACAGAGGTGCCCCAGCCCCTTCTGCCCGGAGGCTGCTCAGCCTACTGCTGCCCCACAGGCAGTGCTCACCGTGCTGTCAGCACCGAGTGCCTCCAGCCCCTGTCATCTGCAGCACAGGCTCTTGCTTCTGTTCTGTGCTTAAACGTGGCTGCTGGGAAACACCTTTCCTGGCCTGGCGAGGTGCTGCTCCGAGTCATCCCGGTACTGCAAGCAGGGGATGGCAGCAGGGAAGCACACCGGGACAGCAACATGGGACAAGTGCCAGACCAGGGAGAAGAGTGGCTGACAGCGAGCACCAAGCCTCAGCTTGAAGGTGCTGAGAGATTCCCAGCACGGTGCTGAGAACAAGACAGAGCTGTGAGAGATGCCCAGGACCAGATGCACCATAGAGGACAAGAGGAGGTGCTGATCCACCATTCTAGGTAGGGACAACGGTCACTTCTGCCATGCTGCTTACCACCCTGTTAGCCCTGCAGCAGGCTTTCCTCTTGTCTAAGAGCAGCAGGAAGGTGCTGCCATCCAAAGCATCCTGCACTCCCATTCCACAGGGACCCTGCTAGCAGGATAAGGGCGGTTGGCTCCCAGGACCTGTTCCCTAGATGTGCAGCCGACAGTGCTCCCCCGCTGCAGTGAATGCAGTTGCTGGCCTGTCCTCCGACCGCCCAAGAGCCATGGATGGCTGGTGTGAGCCACGATGGCCACATCCCAGAGAGGCAGCTGGGCCTGAGGCTGGGGCTGGGCTTGGAGCAGGGCTGGGCTCTGCTTGCAGGAACATGGTGCCTGGTGCCCTTGTCCTGGCAGCACAACCGCCACCACCATGCGTCCCTGCACTGCCTTTGGGATAGCAGCACATCTTGTCCTGCCCTCGCAGCCCTCGCTGCGAATGGGGCAAAGGCTCTGGCACGGGCTCACACGTGATGGGCCCGACTGGAAGATGTGGCCATGTGGGGACCCTGCACGTGGGCAGGGAGGGGGAGCGGCCAGCAGGAGAATGGCAGCGGGGTGCAGGGGGAGCTGCTGCGTGCATGAGGTGTGCGTGCAAATGCAACGGGGACGCACGAGTTCAAGGTGCGGAGCTGTTGCAGAGCCCTCCTGAAGCAGGCAGGCCTGGACACACACTGCTGGCACCACATCTTGTGCTGCCCTCGCAGCCTTCGCTGTGCGTAGGGCGCAGGTTCTGGCACGGGCTTACCCGGGATGGGCACGGCTGGAGGACGTGGCTGAGCAGGGCTGAATCCCAACCCCATGGACGCATCCCAACTGCAGCACAGGAGCACTGCTCAGGTCGATCACTGACTGCTTGTGGGACAGGGAAGGAGCACAGGAGATGGTCCTGGCACATCTGGAGGTGGCCAGCACAGGCTTCACCCATTTTATTGATGATTTAAGCACCAAAGTGTCCTACTGTGTCCCACAGAGTCCTACTGTGGGGATCTGTTACAGACCTCCTCATCAAGAGGACTCTGTGGATGAAGCACT